CATGTGAGCCGTACCGAGATTATATGCATATTGCGGCTTGATGCCAATAAGGCCATCAAACCACTCTCGAACGTCAAGAAGATTATCGTTTGTTCCTTGTAGAGCCTTTGAGACGGACTCAACGTCCATCAGTTCTTTCAGAAGGGCACGCAAACGACGATTGCAGGAAGCCGAAGGGAGTAAGTCCGCAATCTCATCGTCAGTCGTGTCCAGGTGCTCCAACAGTTCAAAGTACCGATGCAGCATCATAAACGTCGAACTCCACCGAGTGTCTTGCCGGATAACAGGTCGGAGGTCCATTTTCAGCCTAAAAAAAATTTTTTCAAAAAAATAAACATAAAAATAAATGTAAGATTAAAAATATTTTAAAAAAAAGAAAACGTACCGAAGTTTAGCCGATTGAGTCAGAGTTCGGAGCTTGATCATCAGCGCTTGGACTTCTGCAAGATCAGCTTTGTGTTCGTGCAATTCATGTTGAACGGCTCGGTTGAGCCTGTGTGATGCACAGCCAATTAGCAGTACCCCAATTAGGGTTGCCAACCGCTTATTGACACTACAATTGTCCCCCACGAGAAAAACACACTGGTCCAACTGCTTCCCAAAGTCCCGGGAAAGAATGTTAGCCAGAAATTCTCTATGAGCAACAGCAGAGAGGTCGTCGTCGGGCTCGTTCATGAGAGGGGTCATGCAGAGAATCGGGGTCTTTACCTGCCCATTCACTTCGTAGCAGGCAAAGACCGCGATATAGTGCTCCGATAAATGGGTCCATCCGTCAAGGATGAGCCCAAATATCTTCGGCATTTCGGAGGCAATAGACCTCTCCACCGCCACCGTAACCCCATTCATTGTAGACCGCAGGGTCTCAATGTAGATGGGGTCCAAGGTGGTGTACCTACATGAAAAATAAAAAATGTTAATGACTTCTTAATCGTCGGAGTTGAAGATCGTACCGTTTTGTGGCTCGATTTTCGCAGAATGTGAGTGGCAGGTTGCTCATGATGACTCACGTTAGCTACCCGTACAGGTTTTGGGAGGACTGACGAACGTAGCTCAATAAAGAGCCAGTCTCAGTAGTCGAGGCTTCCCGCATCGTCGTTTCAAAGTCGGGGTGCTCACGTCTCACGTGTTGCAGTAGGTTCGAAAAGCCGTTGCGACGGGTTTGCTTTCTAACCGTGCCGCAACGACACCGGAAGTACTCGTCGATAACTTCTTCGTAGTCATCGCGGCACGGTTGGAAAAAGAAGCGAGAGACTTGAGCCGACGTGAAGCTTGGGCGGATTGGGCGGGATACGGTCACCATGGCGTGAGTTGTGCTGAAACTGATGCTTTGGGGGGGGGGGTTGAAGATTAAAGAATGAGGCTGGCTGTTCGTTCTCGGGGTTTTGGTACTCCTCCAGCCAATGGTTCAATGGTTGGTTTCTAAACCTCCATTATGTATTTTGGGACGGTACATAAATTATGATTGTTCGCAGTTCTTATGAAATAAATTATGGTATGTTGCTGTTGAAGGTGTATCAATACATTTATTTATGGATTTTATTGCAAATATTGTTATGGCCATGCTATTTTCGGCGGCCCTGAGTGCAGAATCTACTACACTTTGCGTTTAAGCAAGTCTCGGCGTTACACTGTTCATCACATCCGCAACCCTTGCCGCCTTGTCTGCCGGTACTGACCTTGGGAAAAGAGATACCTGAGGGGTTGTACTGGACCTTGAGAAACTTGATTTCTATGAGCCAATAGTTTAGGCGCCATTCATCCTGCGAAGAGTGGACCGCAGTATCCCCCGAAATGACGAATCCAGGCGAATCGAAGATAGTTAATTCCACTGGAGAAGGACTCGTTGATGCACCCGCATTTACTCGATCAGTTCGACGGGGTGGAGTCGCAATCTGCTCGATTGCGTCGGAGTCGTAGCCGTCAGACTCGAAGCACTCTTTGTACCACATGTCCACCTTTTGACGCCCGACGTAGAGATAGCGACGCGGGGCTACTGCCACGACTCGACGTGGGGATCGTGGAACTGCCCCATCGGCTTCTTGAGGAAACTTGGTCCGAGGTGGAGAGGATGGAGCCCAGGGCTCGGTAAAAAAAA